GAAGTGAAAGTGTTTTGATCTTGAGCTAGCAGCTGTCACCAGGACTTCTTGATCCATCAGGCCGCTTCCTGAGTATGGCCAGGGCAACAGCCGTTCTGAATCATGACTTAAGATTTCTTTTCCTGGAAGATCAGACTAAAGTCTCTTCAGTTTATAAACAATTTAAGAAGCCATTTAATCCCTGATAAAACAAATTACTTTCCGCGGACACCATATAGAGTAGGTCTTGTTCTCTATAATTGAACCCTCCCAGGCTGTTGCAGTGGCAAGCAACCATCTCTCAAAAAGTGAAATTCTGAGGGCGCCTGGGTGGCTCAGTCGGTTAAGCGTCTGCCTTTGGCTCAGGTCATGATCCCAGGGTCCTGGGATTGAGTCCCACATTGGGCTCCCTGCTCAGGGAGAAGCCTGCTTCTCCCTCTCCCTCTGCCACTCCCCCTGCTCGTGCCTGCACGCTCTCTCTCTCTCTCACTCGCTCTCTGGCAAATAAAGAAATAAAATATTTAAAAAAAAGAAGTGAAATTCTGAGATACGTTAGCTCACCGGTTTGAACGGAAGGCAGCTAAGAATCTGTTGGTATCATAAAATAGACACTGGTACTTACTTATGATGTATGAACTGAAACCATCACCTGGGGTTGTCCCAAATAAGGAGCCTATCAATGATGATGTTCTGGTGATGAAAGAGAGCCTGGTCATGATGAGAAGAATAAAGAATGCAAGGACTGTTGTGACTGTGTGGTGTAGATTTTTCTATCTGTTCCAGAGAACTTAAAGGAAAAATGATAAAATTTAAAGTGTTCTGCCTAAGGTAAGTTCAGAGAATCGAGGAACTACCATGCCTGCCTGCAGGCTCTCTTCTGTCTTGTGGCTGTTGAATTGACAGAGCCCAAAGATAGAACTAGAGCCCGATCCTTCAAGTTTCTGAGCTGCAACACAGTGTGGATTCACAGACTTCACGTTTCTTATGTGAACACGAGGGCATTTATCAGAAAGAATAGGGCCAGGAAAAATGAAATAGGGCATTTGGCAGACTCCTATATCTCTGAGTACCTTAAAAGCCCACATTCCACCAAATATTCCTTGAAAGCAGAAGCAAACTTGTTTCTTGTTTTATGAGGCTGTTCTTTTCTTGCCAGAGGGCCCTGTGATGACTGGAGGGAAGTAAGTCGGCAGTTGTCAGCTCTCTGTGTGTCTACACCTCAACGTTGTCTTCAGAGCCGTAGCTAGAATCAATCCCAGCATGCTGGTGTGGTGTAAATACAAAGTCCAAAGCTGGAGGGAAAAGATTTATACAACAAAAAGAATCAACCAGATTTTGCTCCTGTGTGATGGCAAAAACCTGCAGTATGCGTGGAATGGATTCCGAGGGTGTCAGACCAAGAAGAGAGAAGAATAATTTTAGATTAGGTTGATTATTTTGCATTGGGTGCCTTGCCAGGGATTCTGGGTTCAATATGCTCACTTGAGCAGCTCAGAATGTTTGACAGAAATGTGGGTATGGTGGTAGTCAATGCTTAAGCTATGTTACCAGAAATTCCTGGGGATAATGTAGAGAAATGGATGTAAAGATAAGGAAATATTAGGGTATATTTATTTTTTAAATTTTATTTTTTTAAGATTCTATTTATTTGAGAGAGAGAGAGTGCACAGAGGGAGAATGAGAAGCAGACCCCCACTGAGTAGGGAGCCCAACGAGGGGCTCGATCTCAGGACCCTGAGATCATGACCTGAGCCTAAGGCAGATGCTTAACCAACTGAGCCACCCAGGCACCCCTTCTTATAATTTTTTTAAAATGAATTTCTTTTTTTTTTAATTAGCAAGAGAGAGAAAGCACAGGTGGGGGGAGGGGCAGAGGGAGAGGGAGAAGCAGGCTCCCTGCTCAGCAGGGAGACTCGATCCCAGGACCCTGGGATCATGACCTGAGCCGAAGGCAAATGCTTAACCGACTGAGCCACCCAGGTGCCCAGGGTATATTTATGATGTGCAAATCACTCATCTATATCTAGTTATGTCTCATGAGAGAGCATAAAGGGCACTTTATACAGTGAGGAACTGTCTTCATAAGGAAATACCTTGAGAATTGCCAGAGTGGCTATCTTCTGCAAGACAGACCTGATGGTGGGAGTTGCTACTAAAGGAAAGGGCTCCTGATTTCTCTGGGGGTGATGGGTCCCAGATGGCAAAAGTGCAAGGGACAGCACAATGACAGGACCCAAGACAGAGGCAAATGGGTGTGGTTACCCTAATTGGCAGCAGGGCTGGGGTGATACTGCAGGGTCTGTCAGGGATAGGACTGGAAGAAATGTGCAGAAACTTTATCATCCTCCTTGATCTGTATAAACTGAAACTAAGGCAAATTCTAGGTGGCCTGTGTAATTCTAATTATGAGTTATAGCCCTTTTGCAGTTCATAGCCCTTTTTCAGGCCATACATGACAGAGCAAGCACCCTACGATAGTGCCATGAGCACTGTTCCTAGTAATCCCCTGAAAAGGACCTGCAATCATCTCTTAGGAAAATGGCTATGTCCAGGAGAATCTTTGCAGGATTATTGCCATGGGCTCTAGCTACTGCTCATTCCAGAGGACCCAGAATGCTGTTGAAACCCACTACAGAGAGGAGACTTCCTGAAGTCCAGGGACTATCAGTGGAGATTTGGTCTAGGTTTCCTGCACAGTGAGTCAACAGGGACCTATTAGTGAATAATTCTGTGGTTACCTTCCTCGTTTTCCTAGGTACAGTTGGAATAGACTTGTTGGAACAGACTCTGTCTGTTGGCTTCCTGGCGTGTGGGGTAAAGGCTCTGGAGCGGCAAAAGGAAGCCTCTGTGTTAAGGTCCTGCTGTTACAGTCAAGCTAAAAAATGCCATGTACAGGGAGGGGTTGTAGAGATGAACGTTACTATCGAACACTTGAGAAAGGCAGGAATAATCATTTCTGTTACCTTCCCAAATGCCCCCACGTCCTCATTAAGCTCTTCTGTTTGACCAGTGAGAAGATAGGTGGGTTTGGGGAACAATATTCAAGGCCTATCGGAAACTTAGTGAGAGGGTGATTCCAATAGAAGCTGCTCTTTTGTATGTGGTTTATTTTCTGAAGCCAGTCAACACAGACTCTGATTCTTAATATGGAATTGTTAAGTTGGCAAATGCTTTTTCTATATTAAATACCCCAATAAGGAGAGCCCACAAAAGCAGTTTCCTTTTAAACAGAAGGGGCGGCAATGGACTGAGGACTAGATCAACTCTCAGGCTCTGTGGTAATTTGGTTCAAGGATTGGCAAACTTTTCCTGTAAAGGGCCAAATAGTGAACGTTTTAGGCTTTGTAGGCCACATGCAGCCTCTTTTGCGTATTCTTCTTCCTCTTTCTTTTTTTAAAAAAAAAAACAAAAACAGCTTGACAAATAAAAACCATTCTCAGTTTGCAAGCTTTACAGAAACAGGCTGCAAGGCAGCTGCAGCCTCTAGACCATAGTTTGCTGGCTTCCGATTGGGCTCCTGGGCTCCCTAGTTTCCTCACCCATCCCCAGGATATCACATCGCTCCAGGACACGTAGAACACTATAACTGTGGACACGGTGGACAGAGAGCAGACTGGGATGTCCTGGTAAGACATGTCCCACAAATTTCAGTGACCTGTTTCCAAGACACAGAGCCAATTTTTCAAAAACTTGTTTTTAATTCTGGGTTTCAGAAACAAGAAAAATCCGAGTCAGGACAACTGGACACAGGCTCTGAGAAGGATGCACAGTAAGTGTATCTTGAAGTGGGACCCTCCGGTGTGGTGTGGCTGTCCTCAAATCCTTCCCACCAAGGGCCTTTGGAACTGAGAAATGGCTGAGCCTGCATCAAGGTGTCAGATGGCTCCAAATGCAAGGAGAGAGAGAATACAGTGGCTGGGAACCAGGGGACTTAATGAAATAGGTCTTTGGAATATTGATTTTGAGCCTCTTTTACCACTAAGTCATTTTGATTGGGGGTATTGTCTGACCTTGAGAGAGAAGCAAGTCAGAATTTGACTTTAATTTTATTCCTCAGATTTCCAAGAAAAAAAAAAAAAGAAGAACATACCTAAAGGTAATATAAAAATAGCCATGTTCCAAGGGAATTTTAAAGAAAGAAACATTTAGAGATTGCTGAAAACCGTGTAATGGTGTAATTGTGCAAGCAAAGATGACTTTTTTTATTCATTGTAAGAACAGTGTAAATTGGTTTGTGTATAATAAAAAGTTAGCCTTTCATCAATACTTGGATAAATAAACTGCAACATCCCTGGAATGTGATTATCAAGGGACAATCAAGCTGTGGTTTACTATTTCACGTAGTATGCTTTCTCTTTTGGAACTAATAAAAGCCACAACTGCATGCTTTATTATAAAAAGCAGAACTAAAACTGGCCAGTGTTTTCCTTATTTTAGAAAGACAGAGCTCAACAATGAATCACATATTAGGAATTTGACCTGGACAGTAAGAGATTTGACTTTCTTGCTGCCATCTTGCCATGTAAGTGTGGTTTGTAGTGGTGACAAGTATTTGAATCTCTTTGATTTCATGACCTTTAGCAGAAACATATTTCACTGTATGTACGTACGGTTTCATCAAATGCTGTTTTCTTCTATATTTGAATGTGCATTTGTTTCTCTAGGTATTTTTATTGGCCTGGTTCCCAGTATCTCTCTCTCAATCTGAAATCCTCCCAGTGACCTGCACTCAGAAATAATGCTGCACTGCCCTTTATACTCTATAGAGAAGTATGGACACCTGATCTAAGGCTAGCCTAACCATAAGTGAGTCAGCAACACATGAGGCCTGCTGCAAGAGGCTCTCTTCTTTTTTTTTAAAGATTTTATTTATTTGACAGAGAGAGACATAGCAAGAGAGGGAACACAAGCAGGGGGAGTGGGAGAGGGAGAAGCAGGGTCCCCTCCGAGCAGGGAGCCCGACGCGGGGCTCGATCCCAGGACCCTGGGATCATGACCTGAGCCGAAGGTAGACGCTTAACGACTGAGCCACTCAGGAGCCCCAAGAGGCTCTCTTCTTAATAGGAGGCAGATTAATTGCCCCAGTCAATCTGATGCTATCCTTTGCAATTTGGACTGATGAGAATATAGAAGGTCATTCAACTAGCGGTAGAAAGAGAAAGGGGGAACTTCCAAAAAGAAGCATAGACAATAAAAGTTGCTAAGAAGTATTCCTGATCAAAGGGAAGGATTCAGAAGCAACAAAGACTATGGTTCTGAATGGCAGTGTCCTCCAAGTTTTCTTTGTCCCTCCATTCATAGCCGTCCAGTATAAGGTGATCAGGACCCCAGTAGTAGCAATGCCAGGGGCTTCTCTGACAGAAAAATAAGGAGAGTTACCAAGAGAGGAAACCACCAGACGGGCCAACACCATACATTTCTAGTATTTCATGTCTGCCCAGTGTACTTCTGTTTTTTATAACTATCACCCAAATGTGTGTGGCTTTTCCAGGCTTTGGGGGTCATATGTCCCTGCAACAAATAGTTAAGAATAGTTGGAGCTGGTATCCCATTTGATTTTTGGAAGTCCAGTATTTTTTTGATCCAAAGAATGCTTATATGTTCTACCAATTTGTTCTGGTTTGCAGAGTCCCCTCAACTATTTATCTTCTGATTCTAACTCCAGGCTGGCTTCTCCACATTGTTGCTGCCCTCCTGATCCACCCTGGGAAGGAACAAAGTCACCCAGTCTCAGCTAAGATTCTGCTACTGTGTTTAACTACACTTCACAGATGAATGGTGGGTATACAAAGGAATGACAACAGAGGAGAACACAAACAAAAGATGACTTCTTGGGACTGCTAAGATATAAAGGCCATGTCCTTTCATAAGGAAGCTGGGATGTGGGGATAGTGACAGAATGGGGTGGAGAGGGGACGCTGCTTGGTTTGCCAACATGATGCAGGGAGCATTTTGCATCATTGAAAGAGAAGTGCCTTTGATCATGGGCTCCCTGCCTGGAGTTCAGTTGCCCCACAACCTTCTGAGATCCAGCAAGACACAGATCTAGGTTCTCTCTCATCCACCGCTCTTAACCCCCAGTTCAAAGCCTGCCTCGAGGAAACATAATCATCTTCAGAGATTCAATTAGAGCCTAGAACAAAAGAAACTTTTTTTTTCACTGTTATGTACAGCTATTTTGCTTCCTCACTATTTTGAGAATAATATTCTTTTTGGCTTTACCAGTACAAAACCCCAGCAAATTATCCCCTCCACAAATAAAAAGTAATCTGACCACATTTTTCATATTAATCCTCCATTTGAAGAACCTGGTAAAATGTTCACAGTTTTAAAAGAGTGGTGTTCACCTGTTCCCTGCTTCCACTCACTTCTGAGTACCCCATCTATCAAGCTTTTTTGGTGTTTGTTTGCGTTTTTGTTTTTGTTTTTTTAAAACACTTAAATCTACTCTCAGTTAGAGCTTTTGGTTACAAAACCAGAAAAGGTTAACTCAGACAAGGAGGTTTTTATTTTTATATTATAGAAAGCATAAAATGAGTCACTCATTTGTTTTCATTATAACTTTCATGAAACTGAAACTCCGTCCTATAAAATGTTACTTCATTTTAGACCAAATAAAATGGTTGTCTTTGGTTGTCTTTTCACATTAATGAATTTTCTCAACCATTTCCTAAGGTTTCAAATGATCCTATTTGCCCATAAGTGCAGTGTTTCAAAGGAAGAACATTTTTTGAGCTATCTATAATGATTTCCCAGCTTTCACCTTAGAGAATATTGCAGTGTGTTCTATGTGAAAAGCTTATATTCTATTTACAAAGAAGAAAATCTGTAACTTTTTATTTTTCTGGATATGTTGTAGAAAGCAATATTCCATTGTATATTAAAAAGAAAAGTTACTCTGAAATATCAAAAGTCTTCAAAAGGTTAGTGATCACACACACACACATGCGTGCACATTCACACACTCATTCATCTATTAGTATAACATGCGATAGTATTTTTGAAATAACACAGATGAATTTTCTTTTCATGTTCTCTTCAAATTCTTTCTCTGCATCTTCTCTGGCATTATTGTCCCAAGAAAGAGAAACACGATTGCCACCAGAGAGAGGAGGATATGATATAGAAGCCTTGGTTCATAGGGTAGGGAAGTAGAAAACTGGGAAGGGAGAAAGGGCAGGAAATGAGAAAAGGACAGAAAAATGGATGTGGTTGTCCTTCTTCCCCCTTAGGGGTTAATCTGCAAGGGAGAGAAAGTAGGTAAGTTGAAATACATTCTGAAGTGCCCCAAACATGGCGCATCTCAGAGAAGTTTTACACTCAGCCTGGGTAGGATGTTAGAGAGCACTGACAGAGGAAGGTTCTAGATGGATGGGTAATGACATCATGATCTTCATGTGCCATGTGGAAGTCCAGAGTTCCTGTTGATCCTGTGAGGAATATAGAGGTGCTGAGAAAAATCATGGGTCAGAAGTTGCCTTACGACTGAGAAAACCCCTGTCCCATCAGAAGGTCCAAAAGAGATAAAACAGACCTTAAGAACTGACAGATTTCTTAGCAAGTGTAGTGAGAAGTTCAAGTTGGATATAATTTGACTTAAAAATAATTAAATGTAAAATTCCCTAGGTTTCAAGTTCTCAGATTTCCAGAACCTTAACATCTGTTACATAAAGCTAAATAAAACACAGTTTTTACTCTCAGGTGGAGCTTGTGACCCAGTGAAGGAGGCACATGGGTAAACAAATCCAGTGCAGTAAGTGATACAGCTGAGGAAGGTTCACAGTGCTAGGGAAGAACAGAACAGGATTAAATGGATGGTCTTCTCAGAGTAGATGATGTTCTAATCAGACCCTGTAGGATGAGGGTTTTCACCAGGTAGACTTCACTTATTCCTGTGCCCAGATGTCTCCCGGTGGAATTCCTACCAATTATGTCTCCGGAAATCCCTCACATATCAAACATCACCTCCTTCATGAAGATTTTTCTGATTCTTCCCACCAGATTTGATTTCTGCTGCTTCCTTAATGGCACTTTGGCTTAATATTTGGGAAATTCTCTGGAAAGTTCTCTCAGATGGCACAGACCTTAGCCAGATTCTTTAGAACTGTGTTACTTTTCATAGGTGCTGACCAATATCTCTGTAACTAATGTCTAGTCATAGGTAATGGTGAAATAGCTGGCCTAGAACATACAAATTCGTTTTCATAATGATTTTGCCTCTTCCACGTCCACCTTCTTCAGTCTTGGCAAGGGGAGATTGGATAGATAAGTTGTACAAGATGGATGCCAGCTCATGTCATGTCGTTATAGTGTTCCAGAGTATTTTCATGGTCAATCTATAGGTAAGTACTATTATCCCCTTTTACAGATAAGGAAGAAGAACCTCAGAAATTTTAAGGCACTTGTCAAAGATCACACAACTGATGAAAGAGCACCATGATTGGAGCTCTAATTTGTCTGATCCTGAAGCACGCATCTTAGCTTGATAAACAAATGACATCTTGATGGAGAGCATCTCCAGAGATATAGGTTTTACTGGGGGATAAAATTAGATCCCATTCTGTCTTGCTTTGGTGATCAAAATTGGTTTATTCCAGCCTAGATCAGGTCATTAAGGGATGGTAAAACTTGATTATACCATGGAGAAGAGACCTAGCATGGTAAATTGTCAGGAAGATTGGATGTAGAGAAATTGTTGAAACCAGGATGAGAAGGATATATTTGTCTGTTTAAGCGATAGAGACACCAATGAACAAAATGTAACAAAATATTCAGAGAGTGGGCTTAGCTCTGGAAAGTACTAGTTGCTCCAATCAATGCCACTGATTACCACAAACATTTCCTACAAACGTGTCTGATAGGTAAGTTTGTCCTTCATTTTATGACATTAGTAACATAATTAGATAATAAAAAAGTATTTGGTTGAAAATGGGGACAGGAAGAAAAACAAGATATTTTTGCTTTTGAAGATGCTTTTGCATTTTTTTTTAAAAAAAGCTTTATATTTCTTGAAGTGAAGCAGCATAATACTGTCACCTCTACTCCTTGAATATAGATATCTTTACCTAGTGATTGTCTATAATTTCTCCATTTATGATTCTATTATTTAAGAAAATAGAATTTCAAATAATACATTAGTAGAAAATTATATATATAAGCAGTATTTTTGGTTAAAAATATTTTTCACACAACCAGATTTAAAGAACCAGATCCCCTGGGGCAAATATTCTCAATCTGGAGTCATAGATGCTATTCTGGGGGATCAGTGCACTTTCTGAAAATTCATTAAAAACAAGAAATGTAAGGGATATATTCTTAAAAGTCAAGAGAGTCTGTAAATCTCAGGTATAAAAAGTGGAACATAGTTTTTCTACAATAAAATTAACTTACAAGCACCCATTTGTACTCAGAAACAGATAATTTAGTTTTCTTAGTCCTATTAGAACTTACCCAATGGGTTTAAAACTTACCCAGTTTGAGATACTGTTGCTCCCTCTCTTCATCTTTCTCCCTCAATCTGGGGTAGCTTACTGGTCCAGAGGAGACTGATGAAGCACTGTGATACTGGGAGACATGTCTGGGTGTTGATGACCTCTCTCATTTTCCAAAGAGGAGACCTGGTCTGTGTTCTCTGGGCATGAGTGAAGCACAACTTTGCTCTAGTGAACAGGCTCGGACTATTCTGAGGTCATTGCTTGGTCCCATGCCTGGTATGTGCAATGCCGTGGAATTGTGGCCACATCCCTGCACACCGGTCAACAGGCCACACCGTTCCTTGGTATTTTATGTGGCCACCCTTCCAGGTGGCCTCTTCCATGTCCTGTTGGCTGGCCCTCTTTCCCAACTAACTTCCATACCTCCTACAGCTCACAGGGGCCCAATCCTTACTAAGTAGCACCATGAGAAAACCCAGGGGCTGGACAGGCCAGAATCCTCAGCCCTTCAGGATCTAGATAAGGCATACTAGCATTTATATTTCCACTTTACACCCTTATGTTCAGGGTTCTTCTATTAAGACTGAGATTCTCAAAACACTCCAGTGGGAAAGCTGGATACAAATTTCTTTACTCTTGGGCCCTGTTAACACAAAGGGGAAATCTCTATCCCACCTCCACCTCGAGACTCATTCTGGAGTTCGATGCAATGCCTATTATGGGCTGAACTGTGTCCTGTCAAATTCATATGTTGAAGCCCTAAGCCCAGTACCTCAGAATGTGACTGTATCTGGAGAAAGGTCTTTCAAGAAAAGATTAGGTTAAAATGAAGCTCTCAGGGTGGTACCTAACCCAGTATGACTGTTGTTCTTACAAGAAGAAGAAATTTAGACACACTAAGAGACACCAGAGGTGCTGCGCACAGAGGAAAGACCATGTGAGGACACAGAGAAAGGCAGTCACCTTCAAGCTAAGGAGAGAGGCCTTAGGAGAGAGTAACCATGACAGCATCTTGATCTTGAACTTCCAATCTCCAGCACCATGAGAAATAGATTTCTGTTGTTTATGCCACCCAGTCTGTGGTATTTTATGATAGTCCCAGCAAACTAGCATTGCAATTTTCTCCCATCCTTCTAAGAGCTCTGTTTTCTTTTCCGACCTACAGCTCATTTATGGCTCATTCGGGGCAGGAGTGGGTGGGAAGGGGACTCGGTCCCTAGGTTCACATAGGCTCCAGCACACCCTACCCTCAACCAAGTTTTTGGCTTATGCTTACTGGGCATTTGAATCTTTTGTATCTGGGGTCTTTGTTTCACTTGTTCAAGTGGGGGTGATTGAAGGAAGGAAAAAGAAACATGTTTCAAGTTTCGGATGTCAAGTAAGGTGGACCTCCAGTATCCACAGGAGATACTTCCAGGCCCCCATTGGATGCCTGAAACCATAGACAGTGCTGAACTGTATATATACTATGTTTTTTCCTATACATACAAACCTACCATAAAGTCTAATTTATAAATTAGGCACCGTGAAATAATGACAACAGTAAGTAAGAATAAAATAGAACAATTATACTATAATAAAATTTATGTGAATGTGGTCTCTTACTCTCTCAAATTTCTATTGTGGTATACTCAACCCTTCTTGTTATGATGTGAGATGATAAAATCCTACATGCTGAGATGAAGTGAGGGAATGAGGTAGGCATGGTGACACAGTGTTAGGCTACGGCTGACCTTCTGATGATATATCAGATGGAGGATCATCTGCTTCTAGACTGAGTAACTGACACCGTGGAAAGTGAAATCATATGTAAGAGGGGACTAAGGTAGAGATGTCATATATCATGTCACCACAAATGTGTCTGCATCTGCTCGTCTTTTTTTCTGGGGAGAGTCCACAAATTCTCATAGGGGTTCATGACCACAAAAATGTTAAGATTCACCACCCTGTTATGTTTGAAATATGATTCACTTTCAAATATATGATTTATAAACATTTTAGAAATGTAGCTATTATGTAAATGAGAGCAGAATGTTTATCGTCAATAAATGTAAATGCTATCACACTCGTTTCCTTCATTTAAAAAAAAATCTCTGATTTAATTTGCCATGATAAAAGAAGCTAAAGTAAACTGTGAAATACTTGATTCCTTCTTCATGGTCATCCAGTTCCACATCAAGAGATCATAAAACTATATAACTACTTCCACTAGGACAAGTCATCTTAGAGCACCACGATCATAAGAGGCATTCTGCCTCACTCAGTATTTAAACACCCATATGCATTTACACAAAAGTCATTGCTCCTTGTGTTTCTTCTGCCTTTTGTGCCAGTATTCATGGAACAGCAAGGGTCAGGAGTTAGCAGTGATCAGGAGTGACCTATACCCCTCCCCACATTCTGGGAAGTTTTATCCTTTCCCTCTTGTCTCGACACATCGCTACCAGCCCCCTGATTACTATAGTAGCTGCCAGGAGAATGTAACTTGCCCTCCATCTCCTGGCCATGATTGTCTGGACTGGGGTACAACACCTGGGCCAATCATAGTACTTCCTTGAAGATTTGGAACTGGCCCATAGACTATGAAGTTCAAGAGCTGTGAGTGACCATGCAACCTAGTGCACACCAGAGAAGCAGAGAAGGTCTGTATAAGAGGGAGAGAGAGGGAGAGAGAGAGAGAGAGAGAGAGAGAGAGAAGAATGGAGCAGGCAGCATGGTTGGGGAGGAGGGAGAGATAAAGTCCTAATGGCATGTCCCTGTAGCCAAGTTGTCACAGATGCCCAGCTGCATTCCTGTTTTTTGTTCCATGGGTAGCCTGGTACCTTTACAATGGTTTCTCCTTTTTAGTTAAATTGGGTCAAATTTCTATTTCTAATAACATTTCCCATTAATTTGATTTAAATACACATACACACACACACACACACACATGCATGCTCATGTAAAAATGACCTTAATGTATGATTATCAAAGCTTAACTCTTCCAGTGTTAATTTTTCAAAATTAGAATGAAAACCATGACTTGATCTACAACGTTATCATTAATACAAATAAACAACTGTGGTAAGAAAAAGTACCTCTGTCATACTTGGCTATATTTTTATAGGTTTTTAATAGTGAAGGATCACAAAAGTATGGAGTCCTCCTTGTGCCATACCAAGCTCACTTGAAATAGAAATCTCCAGGAATAATGAATGAATTACTTCACTAAAAAGGAGGGTGTGACACCAGCCCTGCAGATCCTGGATTGATTTTATTGCTTTAGACAGCAAGGTAACTACTGGGAATCACGTTTTTTACCTCTGGCCATACAAAGATATTTCAAGAGGAAATGAAAAATATTTTGTCCTTCATTGGCAAATGGAATTATGTTTGGGGGGCACAAGCGGCTAGAAGTTCAAGTTTGTAAAAGTGGATGTTCATTAAATATGAGTTTAATAAACCACAGAAGCATCTGAAGCCTCTAGGCTTATTTAAAGAAAACAACAAATAACTAAAAAAGGTAACTATCAGGCTGATTGATGGATTTTTAAAATGCCACGTGATACATGTATCTGACTCCCTCCCTCCCTCTCTCTCCCCAGAATTTAAACTTCTAGAAGACGTACACAGATACATCACATTTTCCTGAGCAGCCCTGTAAAAGGTCTAGGTCAGCATGATCTGTGTTTGGATTTTAATTGTAAGAGGGTTTTCTGGGTATGTCACTTTAAGTGTTCATTTCCATAAAGACATCAGCTGCATCTATTTTACAACTCTGTCTTTTAAAAGGAACAGTTTAGTACTTCTGGCAATGTGGCAGTCTTCATAAACACACACACACACACACACACGCACACACAGCTCCATTTCAAGTTAGAGGACAAATATGTTAAACATCTTTTCAATTTAGTAGCAAAGCTCTGGCACCCTGATGTTCAGATATTCTTTCAATCTTTCTGTATTTTAAGAAAAGGCTGAAACTGTTGCCCAGTGAGGAAGTTGTATCATCTTGCCAGCAGATCTCTATTAGCAGAATTTATCCATTGTTTCAAGCCCCGAGTATGACATAGTCTTTTTTTTTTTTCCTCCAAAAATGGGTGTGTTCAGCACTGCCCCATGCAGGAGAAATCTAACCGTAACAGGCTTCTCAAATGTGATCCACATCCCCACAGGGCCTGCCTGGACTGTTAGCCCCTCACCTTTCTTCTTTCCTTCTAGCTCACATGTGATGGTGGCTGGGCATAGCAGAAAAAGCTTGAAGGGAGGGAAAGGGAAGGGCTGCAGGGGCTAAGGGAGAGAATAAGCCAAGCACAGTGTCTGGCCCATAGTGTTTAATTTATTCCATAAACATTTATGGAAACTACAACATGTAAGGCGGTGTTCCAAGCTCTGAGGAAAAGTGATGGAAAAACAGACAGACAAACAAAACACCAAAGTCTCTGTTCTCATAGATAAAGCTTATAACCTGGTGGCAGTTAAATATTTGTGGAGTGAATGGTTGTCTAGATGCAGGAAATGACAGCAGGGGTGACAGCTGGGGGCAGCTATAGCTTCCCACTTTGTGTAACTCTAAGTGCTGACTTAACCCAAATCGACTTCACCATCCTAACTTCGGGATTCCTGCATGGCAAATGTAACTGATGTGTACTAGCTTTCTCACTCCTATTGTGAATTTAAAGCGCCCTTAGGGAAGGGAGAGGCTGAGGATGCCTGAGTGGACTGGAGCTCGGCCTTACCAGCCTTCCCATTACCTTTGAGCAGTTCAGATAAAACCTCTGCAAGAGAACCGCCAGGTGGCACCTGTAAGGCGCAGATGGAGAGAATCATTTGCCCCACACCCCACAGCCCGGAATAACCAGGCTGCGTGCCTTCCACTGTGGGCTTGTTGGCTAGGAAGTGGGGGAGTTTTAGTCTCCGTTCAGACTGCGTGATTACGTACCCTGTTTTCTTGACACCCCAAACACGCAGAGTGCAGATCTGTCCCCACGCACTCGGGCTGCCAGAGGCGGTTAGGAGCAGCTCGGCCTTAGGCACCCGCCGCGACGTGGGGGCTGGCGGTGGGTGGCGGTGGGCTGCGCTGAGCTGGAGGCGCAGTCAGTGCCCAGGTCTCCCTCGCCAGACCTCTACCCGGGGCCAAGGCGGAGGAGTGGCAAGAGAGACGGGTCCCAGGGTGGTGGCAGGCTGAAGTCCGGGACACGGGGAACACCGCCTCCCACTCTCGCTCACCCCCAGCCTGGGCCGACGCTGCCAGTGGCCGGGGTCTGGGGCACCTCCTCCCGCCCGTTAGAGAACCCTGTGGTTTTTCCGGCCCCCGTTTCAGCGGGGCGGCCCCGGGTCACCCCTCACCTCCACTCTGCAGCTGTGCTCCCCCCAGCCCAGGCTGGGCGACCGTCCCCGCTTGCAGAGGGTCGGGGTGCAGGGTGTCAGCTCACGGAGCAAGCGTGTTTGGGTCATTTAGGGCTGGGCGGCCGGGGTACCAACTCCACTCCATCAGTAGCGGGAAGCGAGCTGCGCCAGTTACGAGACTGGCGCTGCCGCCGCCGCCCCTATTGGGCCGCTGGTGACATTGGGAGGAGACCGCTTGGAACGGGCGGAGGAGGAGGAAGAGGAGCAGGGAGGGTGGGGGTAGGGGGAGAAAGTAGCAATTGTGCCAGGGGGCGTGTGAGCAGCCGGAGAGGCGGCCGCGCTGGTGACAACTTCTCCGGGGCGC